GACGTGTATTACAAATGATCCAGCGCTTTTCTCAATAATGTTGAAAGTCATAATATCAGTGCCGTAAAGAACACAACAAGAACTTGGATAAGAATATTCGCTGACTTTGTAGTTATGTAAATTGTTTTCAAATTAGAATTATCTCGCAATCCTAACAGTTATCTATATTATTTACTTTAAAGAAATTCCCAAAGTTGACAAAGCAACTGTTCTTAAGAGTAACCCCGCATTTACAAAATTAAATATTACCAATTTTGCTTATTAAAAAATAATAACAAAAGTACTTCTCAACGCTAGACTCCTCCCACTTCCGGTGACTCAGAGGTAAATCTGAAGTGTTATAGTGGTAAAAATTGGATTTGAATGCTCGCGGTGGACACAGCACAAGTAGCTGAATTGTGTTTAACAAAAACAGTTAAAGTTAAAGCTTTGTGTTAAACAACCAACTTAAAATTTAAATATTAAGCCCTAACTATATGCTGTATTTTCAGCTAAGTTTTCGCCAAAGATAGTCATTGTATTTTATTATCAAAGCTAGAATGTTATCTCTGTTTGACTCATTGTATATAATTGAATCTAACTGATAAACAAATGACTACTATAACAATGAAATCGAGGTATTTTCTTTATTTTGTTTAATTTATCCTATTCGTTCAATTTTTTTTTTCTTATCTTACATTTTAACTATTACATGTTTTAGTTTCTATGCGGATGAATATGATATTTTCTCTCTTTTAAATATTTTGTTTGTTTCAACATTTTTGCGTGAAACGACACAAAGATTATCTACACTAGCCTTCTCTAATTCCTAATTACTAAACTGGAGGGAAGGCAGCTGGTCAACAGTATCCACTTACAACTCTTAGGCTGCTCAGATCGATAAATGGGAATTGACTGTGACACTTATAATACATCCATGGTCGCCAAGAGCGAGGCGCTAATTTGCGGCAACAGCATATGAACCATGTACTCTTAGATTCACATTCGACACGCTAACAACTAGGCCACACCCTCGCTATTCTTAAGAGCAATATATCTGATGAGAACTATGAAATATTACATCATTTTCATTAAACGTAGCAGATCTGAGGCTTAACTTTCCAAACTCGGTAAGACATTTTTAAACTAAAAACGTAATTCGCAAATGTTCATGGGGGTTTACAACATCCACCACACAAGTGGTTTGGGACTGAATTAATGTAAGAAGATTAATACAATAGATAATTCATTAGTGATTATTTATAATAATTACATTACTTTCGCTCTTAAATATTCAACTGGTTTCTGTAAAAATTCTTTTTAAGTGAACTTTTCTTTCGAGAGCAATCGTCAGTACCTTGACATGTTCCTTCAACTTTCAAGATATAATTCAATAAGCTAAGTTTGTGTGTTGTTCTACACAATGGTCTATCTATACTCTGCCTTACGCGGGCATCGAAATCCAATTTTTATCGTTATAAGCCCTCAGACTTACCACTGAGCCACTGTTGGCCAATAAGTTAGTAAATATTTCGTTGTTTTTTGTTTTTTTTCACGACTACCCCAGAAACTATTCGTCTGCAACTCACAGAGCTAAGGACTATTGTTTCGGTTGTACCCTTTCTCTAACTGTGCGTGGACACAAATAAGATATACTGGAAATATAACACTGAAATTTTTGTGTACAAAGTACCACAATAATATGTCCATTATGTGTCTTTTTTTTTTTTTTAAGATAATGTTAACAAACTGTTAAGAATACCGTATTGGCAGTAGTTATTGTTAATATCCCGAAAACTTGTCTAAACTTAACACGTTAGGCCTACTTTATAGTGCTATAATAATAGCATTAATACTTAAAGAGATGAAACTACTACTTCTAAATTTATACTTAATAATAGCAAAAGATGTGTTCGTATATTTGTATGGCGTTTAATACTCAGAAAACCAAGTAATTATTTGTGTTGAATCAACACCCACATCTATGCAGGTAACCGAAAATGACCAAAATGGCTGAATGAAACATAGAGGTTGCGCGTGTCGGCATAGGTCAACTAACAAAGAACCATTTGCACGATTAATGAATGCTGCTGCCAGTAACTTGTGATATAGCTTGTAAACTGTCTTCACTGTGTTCACCTGCTAAGTATTGTGACATTGATTAATGAACTTGACCTATGAAGAAAGAAAAACATTTAGTTATCTTACACCTTGGACGATGAAGTATTGAATTATGATACACCAGAATATATTAAGGTAATTGATGGTATATTTGCAACATCGTAGGCCCATTTTATACAATAGCCTTGCTCTTGGCTTGGTAGCTTTAAATGCTAGTCTAACTATACCTTTTTGTATGGCTGTATGTTGTTGATACATATTAATATTATTTTTACTAACAGGTCGATTCACAGATTCTTTCCAATTTTTATAAATGAGAATGGTAGCAAGTAAGAGAGAGCCCAATACACGAAAAATTTACGGGTAAATTCCGCTTCCTCAAAACAAATAATAATCATTATGAAGTGTTTTTTTTTTCATAAGTCTTTCTCTAATAGTAGTTATTTAATATTTATAAAAATTAATAAAATATCTAAGTTCAAATTTGAAACATCCTAAATGAGGTTGAGGTTATAGTTTAAGTTCAATCTAAGAAATTCATTTTTGTAGCACGATCCACTTACGGCAGCTACCTACTGGTTTGATTTGTTTTGAATTTCGCGCAAAGCTACACAAAAGCTATCTGAGCTAACCGTCCCTAGTTTAACAGTAATAGACTAGAGGGAAGGCAACTAGTCAATACCACCCACCGCCAACTCTTGGGCTACTCTTTACCGACGAATAGTGGGATTGGCCTTCACATTAAAACACCCCCACGGCTGAAAGGGCGAGCATAGTCGGTGACGGAGATTCGAACCAGTGATTCTCAGATTGCGAGTCTTAACCTCCAGGCCATAAGCTACCTAATATTTCATATGATAATTATAATTTGAAATGACAGTTAACATCGAGTTTATTGAAGAAAAGGAAATAATCTACACACAGCGTTTTGCTGAAGTTAAATCAACGTTATGAAGTGTAACAAAATCAGTTAAATTTAAACGGTCAGCTCGGTTTTTATGGAACAGTAGTATTGTGTGTGTGTGTGTGTAGGACTACCTTAAGACTACCACGTGAAACAGAGATATTTCAGGATTCTTGCAATCCTACTCATGATTGGTCAGCTATAGAGAGAATATGGTTTGACACTTTCAGAGAGATTATTAATTTTGGTTCTCAAATGTGTAAAGTGCTGGGTTTTCTTGTAGATTGATTATTGTATTTTCCGACCGTGAGTTAACTCAGTGATTAGTGTTTTGGGTTAGTAATCGAAAGGTTGCAGATTCGAATTCCACCTAGTCGTTGTTCCCATGAACAACACACTCAGCTGTAAATCTGGTACCGTTGTTCCCATGAACAACACACTCAGCTGTAAATCTGGTACCGTTGTTCCCATGAACAACACACTCAGCTGTAAATCTGGTACCGTCTAATAGCTGAGAGGTTAACCTCCAATGGGCAGGTATTCCGTTCAAAGGAAAAGGGGGAAACATTGTTATCCGCTAGTGTCACAGTAAACCCAAAACCTTTAGACACGTGCTGTCACCTGAAGGCTTTGCAGAAAAGAAAAGTTCAGCACCGGAAATGATTTGTTATATTGCACGGCTTTGATCATAGCCGTTAAGATAAAGTATTATATTATATCTTTTCTTATAAAAGTAATTTTTAAATCACAAAATCCTCATTAAAATATATACATATTTCCTCACAAGTAAACTGTTTATATCAAAATTAATCATTTCGCAGTCAGCTCGATATTTAATTAATGTTAATTTCTAGTTAAAACCGCTTCTACTTACTGGCTAAAGACAAATACTCTCGGAATAAATATCAATGAAGGAAAATAATTTTGAATTAATCGTTAAACATTACAAGAGGAAACTGTTTTTATTAGATATAATTTAAAGAATAAATAAATACTGGTTTTTACATTATAGCCAAAACACTATTTAGTGACACAAGGCTATACAATGGGCTATTTGTGCTATGCCCACCACAGATATCGAATCTCGTTTTCTAGAGTTATAAGTCCGCAGATTTACCGCTGTATAACTGGGAGGGCCACAAACTTCTAATACTATTGTATATGTCACCATTTAGATGCTGTTTATTAGACGGTTACAAAAAAATAAAATAAAGAGTGCTTCTTATTCTTAGCCACCTTTCAAACATTGATCTAGCTACAATACTTTTAATGAAACTATTTATCTATATTGCTGTGAAAGTATCGGTTAAAGGTTGAGCAGCATGGTAAAAAAAGGTTAACTTTATGTATGAAGCCAAGAGAATAAACGAACAAGAAAATCGTCAAATAATATAGGTGTTTTATTTCATAACAATTAGATTTTCTACAATTGTTTCAGTTGTTAACCGTCATACATCAAATAGTAGATAACGAAATGAAACTTCTACAGATTTAGCAGACATGCATTGTCGGAGAGCGAGTACCTGCAGGCTATTGTGAGGGGACGAACCATTGTTGTACATCATGCCTTGTTGAAAACTAGATTGTTTTATTTTTGTTTCGCTTATGTTGTGCTTGAGGAAAGGTTAATGACATAATAAGACAACTATTTTATCAAACTTTCAATGTGGCTGACACAATAGTGATAGATGGGACTAGGTAGGTCTACCGGGCTAGTTCTGCCCACACATCTCCTCATCTGATATCAAGATTCATCTGTTAAGATTCTTAAAGTCTCTAAATTGTGACTCTCACTGACATAAAAGTGTTAATTTTATTCTACTCCCACACCCAACTCTTTATCCCCTCTTCTGTTTCTCCAAATAAAACATTCTAGGAAAGCCACTGATCGTGTTATTTACAGATTAGCATTTCATTTCTTATCATACCATATAGAAAGATGTTAAAATTGGAAACTAAGAGACCTTGCTTGATATAGTGCATCATTCTCCTGCACAATAATAATTTCACTATTGGAAACTAAGAGACCTTGCTTGATATAGTGCATCATTCTCCTGCACAATAATAATTTCACTATTGGAAACTAAGAGACCTTGCTTGATATAGTGCATCATTCTTCTGCACAATAATAATTTCACTATTCTAAGTTCTTGGGATGACTGATCTGATGAAAATAGACGAAACTCAAGTTTGCAACGACACAAAAGTAAAGTTTATTGATTTAACGCAGACAAATTAATCGAAGCGTCCACAGAAAAACTGGAGTACAACTGCTTTACTGGTGAGAGTACTATAGTCAAGAAGTTTGGTGAAAGTCTGATTTAAGCTGAGAGAATTACCCATTATATATACATATCACAATAGGATCAATTTTCACAGAGTCCACTTGTCACTTTACTATACTATGCACAGCAACTTCTTAGCTAGAATAATCGTGTAACCATATCAGTTTGATTCAATGATCTAGCACCCAAATGAAAAGGTGTGAATTACCTTCTTCAATGATCTAGCACCTAGCTGAAAAAAAACTGGTAGCTGATCATTTTGTACAGAATGATAAATGACATGCTCATTGTCGAAGTTACTTCTACTGAAATTCGCTTTTTAAATAACATAGCTACTGCGTCTTTTAGGCCGCGCGTAGTTAGGGTACCGTGATATGATAGGCGAACAAGCTGACACCTGATTCGTTGAATCTCTCACGTCATTTCTTAGGCTATAATAAACGGTGCAAGAGGATAATATATCTCAGTGCGTGTAGGCAGATATGTTTTTATGTGTCGTGTGAAAGAGTGCTGTAAAAGGACAGTTTGAAAACATCGCTGGAGGCAAATCTGAGATTTTAGGGTAAGACTTCATATTTTATTGGATAATTATCTATAACTTAGCTTGCACAACATCCTTACGTTTTATCTTTTGGAGAGAAAATTTTTTATCGTAAAAGCAGTAGTAAAATAGCAAATTTCTTAAATAATGATGATGAGCTGGTTAAAAGGTATGTTACAATAGCTAGCTCGTTTTATCCAACAATAATTAAATTTGATTGTTCAGTATAAAGCAGCAGCTAGTAATTTAAGAAACACAAGTAAGAGCTTTCTTGTGGTAAGAAGACTGGAAATAATAATCGAAAATTTAAGAATCCAACCTCAGTGACTAAGTCCAAGTTGTTGATGACAGATATCCAGATACAGTGAGTTTAATAACTGTTTTGTAATTTCTAACGAGTTCTATTTTAGGAACATGATTGATACTTTTATATTTTTGGAGTCAGATACAACTACCTTTAGATGGCGAATTTGACATGGGAATAATTAACCCAGTCTATCAATATAGAAAGTTGTACGTATTATCATTAGTAGTGTTCTTGAAAAGCTCTCATGTTTGGTGACTTTTCATGTTCTTAATCTATACTCTATGTATAATAAGAATTATTAAACTCTGATACACATTACACTGTTATATTTAACTAAAATCTTACATGTATATATACATGATGTATGTACACTGTAGGTGTTTGTGTGTACGTTATATTATTGGTTACTGATATGGTTACTGTCGAAATTCACAATAACTGTACTACCATTGATGTTTTAATATACGTTAAAAATTGCAAAATTAACTAATAGGAATTTATAATGTGTGTAATACAGCTATACCAAGGTAGTAACAAAAACCTGCTGGTAAAGCGAGTAAGACAAGGGATGTTAAGGCGATTGAATTAGGTAAAAATGTTTTTGTGAACCTGTGATATACTTCTAGGTAAATCCATAGAAATGTATATATATACATATAACTCAGTGAATCTTCAGTATTTCTACTTTTGCATACATCGATGGAGATTGGCCGACACTTGACTAGAACAGCAGGTACTACAAATGGCAACAGATTTCTTTGTTTTGTACAAAAAGAAGTTTCAAATGACCAATAAAAAGATAAAGAATGATCCAATAAACGTGTATTTATTGATTTTAACAACTGAATAATGAAGAACAATTAAAAGTCAACATAAGTTAACCCTAAACTAAGTTAACCCACAATATTGTGATACTGCATACGAATAATTTTTAAAATAAAGATACTCACTCTATTCAATATTAAAACTACTTTTGCTTATCATATAAACTACTGTACTAAAATTGTTTGAAATGCAACTATGTTGTAGTGACGGTTATCCAAAGTTATCAAGTGTCTTAATTATTTGTAACTTGCAACCTTTGCTGTAACTTGCAACCTTCCTTGTTTGGTTGGTTACTATATCCTGACTCAGCGGTTAGTCTGAAAGTTTACGACGCTAAAAATCGAGCGCAGCACCGATAATCCATTGTGTAGCTTTGTGCTTAACAACGAACATACATTTAGATAAAACAGTATATCCTCCAATTAACCATATACATACAGCTATATTGAGCTGCAAAGATAAGTAGGAACGGTTTAATCTCTAAATTATGTGTGACGTAAAGAAAATGAACATGGCGTACATTACATTTCAGATTTTTTGTGATGGATTACCAAAATGTTTGTACTTTCAACTATATTTAATGTATTTGTGTGTATTTTGCACAAAGCTACAAAAAGCTATCTGCGCTCTCTCCACCATACGGAATCGAATCACGGATTCCAGCTTTGCAGTTCCTTAAACGTACCACTGACACAATTTGATTTCCCCTGATCTTTGAAATAAGTTAGACTTTTAGAGCTGTTAGCACATCTTTAGAAAAACCGGACACCTCAGTCACATCCATCTCCAAATTCTATCGTTCGTGTTATTTGGGATCAATTGATAGAAAGAATGCCAAGTCCTGCCCACGTAACGATAGTGTATTAATTTATTTCTACAATAAAGTTTGCTATAACCACAGTCTCATGTAGGCTTAAGTTCACAAACAACGTTTCAACAGAAATTCCGACATTAATTGCAGATACACTTATCTTACTTATAGAACTAATGGGATTGAGTAACTGAATAGACACAATAACTTTCACTACTAATTCTGAACTTAGTCACTCCTGATTATTTACTAAATACTTCATTGACTTCTCTCTACTCAATACTGCTCATTACCTCACTGCATCTATTATTTATAATTTGTCCTTATATCTAGATAATTAAATATAGTTTAAAACACGGCCTTTTCCTTGGATTGTGAAATCTCTTTACCGTATAAAGAAAAACAGTACACTAAACTGTATATTCACCAAGTCTTTATGGTGGTTTTTGTTTCCAAGGGTTATGGTATACAAATGGAATGACCTATTGTCCCTTATTGCAACTTGATGTCCTGTCATTGGGGTAGTTTTCCCCAAGTTAGTGTTTTAACGAATGTACTAGTGGCTCTATCCTTGGTGATCCTCTGGAGGTAGTCTCAACAAGTACCCTAGGCTCTTCAGCAGGCCGACTTTCCACTGGCAAATTCTTTTCTAGTCCTGTTCAGCTCGCTGTACTTCTAAAGACAATCACAGAGATTAACCTCTGGACTTGGTCCAACTATTCTTCTGGATTTTGTAAATCACATCATTCATTCTTTTTAGAACACAATTTGTCACCTCTTAGCACCTGCTTAACTATGGAGTTTCTTCTGTGGAGGTTGTATAGTCACGCAATGCTACCTTGATGGAATTCATAGATAAACTAAACGATAGAAGGAATAATAAGTGAATGATAAACAAAACCATAACAAAAAAATTGAATTCGCTACCTCACACTTCTTCCTCCTTAGAAAAACAGAGTGATGAAATTAATCACTTCGTAAAAATATTCGAATTCTCATATCCTTACTTTTAAATCCCTCTTTATATTGACACCATGAATCCTTTACAGATTAAGTACAGATAACTTACAAGAAAATTTCAATTCATGTTTTTGAATCTTCAGCTTAATCTTGTCAACTTCCGGCTCTGGTTCGACTTACCGGAAGTTTCACAATTCGAAGACCAGCTAACTACGATAATCAACTCTGCCATATGGCTGCAATGTCCTTTGAGGAGGACACACAAGTAAGTCATCAGCAGGTTCTGTTGAAGGATGAGAAGTGGACACACCAGCAGAAGTCGTTTATCTTGTGGGTGAATGACCTCCAAGTTTTCTGTAGTCGACATTTTCACTTACTGCAACTGCTTAGGATGATCACCATTTTTTTCAGTGTCGAGAGAATTTTCGCTAGGGAAATATATATACATACATCTTTATGTTAGAAATATGAAATCGTCTTATAACTGCACCTGATCTAGAATCTTTTAATTCATATACTAATGGAGTAACACACTTCGTAACTTCAAAAGGTCCATTCCCCCCTTGGAGCCAAATTTGCAGTAAAATTATTTACTGCAGAAGATAAAGAACGTTCCTTAATAATACTAAATCACCTACTTTACATGCGTCTGAGAATCTCTTATGGTTGTAGGGCTTGCTGCTTTCGCTTCTGAGCCTTTTCAACGTTGGATTTTGCCTTTTGTATGACATCTTGTAATTCTGCTCGTTCATCTACAGTTTGAGGTGTTGGATATTATATCAGTAAGTCTCAAGAAAGAAAGATATCTCATTACAAGCGAAATTTGGCTAGCATTTAAGATGTAGACTCATGAATAGAGATTTTAATAGCTAGAGAAAATTCAGATAAATTATTATCCCAAGTTCGATGATTTTTTTCAATGTAAGCAGATACCATTCTACCAATATTTCTATTTACTCTTTCAGTAACGTTAGACTGAGGATGATATGGAGCTGTAAAGAAATGTTTAATTATCATAGCTTTATAAGTTTCATCCATCAATTAAAACATAAATTGTCGTCCATTATCAGATAAAAGTCTTTGGAATACCATATCTATACAAGTATTCATTAATTAGTTTTTCACAATCACCTTCGCAGTAATTTATTTTGGAGAATATAATTCAACCCATTTACTGAAATAATCTGCTACAAACAACAAATAACTATTACCTTTACTAGATTTAGGTTAAGGTCCCGTAATGTCTACTCCAATTATCTCACCAGGTTTCATTAGTTTAATGTTTTGCATAAATCCAGCTGGCTGCTTCTGATCAAATGTGGTAGTTTCACAAATATGGCATGACAACACATAATTTTTAATGTATTTTCTCATACCAGGCCAATAACCATGTCTGGATAATTTTGTATATTGTTTTACGGACATCTAGATAACCAGTCATAGGATGATCATATAATTCAATTAACATTGCCAATCTCATTGTTTTGGGAATAACTGGTCTGAATTCACCATTGCTAGCAATCCTTTTTTGTGTAATAAAGAACATTGTTATGTAAGACATAGTGTTTGGATTTACTTAAAGTCTATGTAACTATAGTAAAATCGTTTGGTAACAACCCAGCTTTTAAATAAGAGTAAATGCGCCTATATTCATCATCTCTAGCTTGTTCAGTAGCCAATTGCTCTCTCGTGTTAACATTGACAATGGAAAAGGTTTGGTGATAGCTTACTGATTTACATTTAAACCAGATGGTTGTAGGGTTCCCAGATTGTAGATTAATCTCCTTTCCAGTCGTTCTTTTACGTGAATGTCTGTTGGAGCACTAATAAGGCCAAGAATCGAAATGTCCTCAACTGTGTGGTTGTTGATGGGGATATGTTTGCCTATAGGTTTATCTTGGTTCCCTGTTTAAAATGGTTTAGATGTTCTCGTGCTCGATCGCTGAGTCTACATATAGTTGGCCTACAGAACAAATATCTTGTTACCTTGACGAAGTTTTTATTCCATTGTGAAATTACAAACCCACATAAAGGATAACACTCATGCGAATACTTTAACTTCATCGTGGATACAAAATCATTGTATACATCTATGCCACACAATAAGGGTTTAATTAACCCGATAATTTATTTTTTACTGTTACTGAAATTTTTCGTACCCTGATAAGCGCTCGACAATTTAACACAATCTAATCTTCTTATCTCCAAACTGTATATTTGGTAAAAAGAGAATGACATTTCGAGCTAGCGCTGTCCATCAAATTGTACAGCATACAACAAAAGGTGCATGCGCAGAATTTAAAAATTGTGTATGTAAATTTTGTGTTTCCTCCATATAATCTTTAGGTTCCAAAAGCTGTTACACCATCTCTCTTCTAAGTTCAGAAATTAAAGTTGCAAGTCGTAAAATAAACCTAGTTACGTTGCCTTCTTGATGTTTTTATGTAGTATCGTTTATTTCAAAAAATAACTCAATGCTTTTTTCTCACCGTAAAGTGATAAAAGCTTCAACGTACATACAGATATAAATCTAATGTTATGTCTATGGTAAGATTTAACAGAAAATCTATTTAATTGTAAATAAGAAACGTGTAGCATAGCCTAATTTCTTCTGGTATTTCGCTGGTCATCAGTTTATATAAATTTTTGTCTGTTAGTAAACTTCATACAAGCATAAACACCAAGTATCTCTGAAAGTAAAGATTTCAGTAAGTGTTTAAGATAGTTCGCTTAATAATCAAAACTTTGATATGTTTTCTCTTTAGATAAATAGAGTTATTGCAATAATGGCAGCTCCATATAACTCAGAACCTGGACAGGCATGGTATCCATCTTCATCTGGTGTAGTTGGAATACCACCAGCTGGCGGAGTAGGTTATCCACCACCAGGTTGTGTTTCTTATTTATTCTTCATGTATATTGAGTGTATATTGTTCGCCAAGATAGCTTCAAAAGTTTTCCAAAACATTTTTTCATAAAGTATTGTCTAAATATTTTTGAATAATAAATTGCAATCAGTAGTATATATCATAGATGGTATGTCTTGAATAGATTGTGGATTTGTGTTTAGAAATAATATTAGTTCCAATATCTAATGATCTTCTTATGTATGCGTATACCATAAGATTAAGGAAAAAGGTTTTGTTTTAATTATTTTTAATAACTCTTTTTGTCTTTAGGACCTGCAGGTGTTCAGTGGATGTCTCTTCCCTCGGCTCCCCCCAATTGTCCACCAGGATTGGAGTATTTAACAATGATTGACCAACTTTTGGTACACCAAAAAGTGGAACTGTTAGAAGGTTAGATTAAATAGAATTGAATCAGTTCTTAAAAGAAATACTGCAGAAGTAAACCTAATTTTATACTACGATACTAACAATGATCAATTGATGTATGCACAAACAGTGTATGTAGAGATAGATTAATATTTTACGCTGCCGGAAGCCTCGTCCAAGGATTACTGACGATACTTTGTGGAAAACATTTAATAATGTTTTCTTTCAATTATTTTTCTTTTATCAAATTAAAGTTGGCTGCTCTATCCTTCATGGGTTCTTTCTTTATTTTTGGTTTTCAAAAACGGTATTTATTCTGTGGCGGAAAGGAAACAGAGGATATATGCAACAAGTTAAATTGTTTCGTTTAAATATCATTTATTGTTCCAAAATTAAACAAATCAGTGATTAATCATAGATATTCTCACACTCAAAAGAAATCTAGAGAGACTCCTTGTTATTCAGTGGTGTATTGTAAGAGCTGCATAACAGAATAATTATCAAAGAAGAAATATACACTCTTTGCAATATAACCTAAAACAAAGGTTAATAGAATCAGTACATCCTGCAGAGGAAGAGTAGATGTGAGACGGAATATAACTTAATGGAACTAGTTTCTCTGAGTTTGATCATAGATATTTCTAAAGCAATCATTATCATGGAAGTTAGCCGCTTAGATGACATAATGGAATGCAAACGGGCCTTGGTAAACTTCCGTTTAGAGAAACAGTGTCAACATTAGGTCGAGCCAACTGGTAATGTCGCAGTGATTTATCAGTACATTTTGTAAAGAGTTGAGAAAGCAGAACGGTGTTTTCATTACTACCGAGAAGTTGGGTAACCAACTGGTTGGATGAACAATGATGGACATGATATACGTCTGTAATCCCTAAACTACACATTGAGATCCTTGAAGAGATCTTACTAAAATTCACATCATTCCATTGAAACCGTAGGGTCGAATATCCAGACGTAGAGCCATTTTGATTTTCCTTTTACACTAACTTTCTGTTCTATAAGCAAAGCACCGTTGTCATGTGACTGACTGAATACATATCTTAAATCAACTCTCTTGGCAGCCAAGGTATATTCTAAAATATCAAACCCTCAGCAAACGAATCTCCTACAATTTCAAGTAAGTACTCCACAATACAGAATTTTACAGAATTTTTACACAATTTTATCATATCTGACACCAGTTGACTCTTGGTCTTAATAGTCAGGATCAGTAACGTGAACTACGGTAGTGCTGAAATTTCCGCTTTTTTAGCCTCGGTGGATATACTTTACTGTATTTTATCAAAAATATTTGAAATTCTCCTCTTTTGTGATTCAGGTCTCAAGAAGGTAAGGATTGAAGCACGATCACCATGTGTATTCTTCAGTCCTTTATCTTGGATTCATCATAGTTTTCTGTAGTCATCTCTTATTCCAATATGACAGACGTCAAAAACCAGCATTGCTCAACTATATGCTTCAAATGCACATAGAAATGTCATATAGTCATCCAAAAATTGGCATACATATAGATTGTTATGTGAAAATTCGTATAAAAGCAAGACCCGCCGTATTGAATTCATATTAAGTCTCATAACTTATCTTTATAAACATGATAGTACTGTCTGTTAACTGTTGTATGTTCATGTAACTACTTCGCAAGTTGTGGATGGATCTTCACCAAAATTCGTATGGAGGTTCATTGGGTCCATGGGAAGATACATACAAATTTTCAGTTGTGCGTTTTGCGGTTTTTATGTGCGTTTTTTAATTGTTTACCACTACTCCCCCCCCCCTATTAATGGATCTTCACCAAATTTGGCATGGAGGTTTGTTGGGTTCATGAGGAGGAACATGCAAATTTGCGGTTTCATATCTTGTGTTTTGCTGTTTTTATGGGCGTTTTTGTGTTTTTACAGTTACATATAAGGGACATAACTTTTCATGTCCCAAGATAACCTTTCATTAATCGTTAATTTACATAACTTCCGTCCAGGGGGCGGTTATTCCAGCTAGTAACCTAATATTGTTGTTAGTCTATGTACTGAAAGTATAAAATGAAATGTATAGACAACAAAACTAGAAAATATTTATTGATTTCTTAATTTAGAGTCACCCCTGATTAAAGAGGTTTGTTTGTTTTTTATTTAAAACGTTGGTGATATAACAGAATAGTTTAATTCAGTAACGATTTAAGTTTGAAATTCATGTAAACGCACTACCCGTCGCAGATCTTATCTCACACAAGTTCAGTATTAAATCCATATCAAATATCCTAACTTATAATTTAATAAATTTCTTAATATTATCCTTTTTTACTTTCTTATATTTGTTAAATTGAAAGAGAGTAAATTCACGAAATAATGAATTATCATACATTAATACTTCAAATTGTTTAATGTTTTACAGCTTTATTCAGAGACACTACTAATAAATTTAGTCTTAGTTTTTAAGATGTGTTTTTATCGGTTATCACGTGTACTGAACAAAATTATTTACTATAATGAAGTAAATTTAAAACTGTCATAGCTCTGCTGAACATAATTCAGAATACACTATGATGTGTCACATAAGAGTGTAGATAAATCACTATTAATTCATTCTTAATATTATTGTTTCAGCTTTCATAGGATTTGAAACTGCTAATAAGTATCAAGTGGTAAACAGTATGGGCCAGAACGTATATTTTGCGGCTGAAGGTAAGGTAGTTTTTTGATAATAAATTTTGAGTTACTTGAAATAAAGTATAATAGTAAGTACTTTTTGATTGGACAACTGCACTTTGTTTATTTATACATAACTTACACTCCTTCCTTATCTTATATGTTAAGCCAAACTAAGAAAGGTGAGCTCGCATTAAGTCAATATATCCCTACTTTAACTTAATGAAAGTTTAGAAAGGTCTAAGAGCTGACCATCACAGCGATTATAATAGCAGATATCAAATCAAGCTGAAATAACTGTTTAAAGGAGGCATTTATTAATATGTGAAATATGATTTTAGATACACACTGCTGTACAAGATACTTTTGTGGTCCAATTCGTCCCTTTGATATGAAAATTCTGGACAACGGAGGTCGCGAAGTTATTCATCTGTATCGTCCTTTACGATGTGACAGTTGTTGTTGTCCTTGTTGTCTGCAGGTAAGTATTATTGTTTAACAACCTTCAGGATACTATTGTATATGATGTATAATTTAAACAACCAGAAAATGAAATTTAAAATAGGGCAGTTCCCTAAACACTAATATGCCTGAATAATGGATTATCCACAGTAGAAACATGTAACAGCTTTGTACACATATTAGAAATGTTACTGTGTAGATACAGTTTGGCTGTCAATATACAAAATCATTCTATAAAGTTTCACATGACTTGCTGCCGTAAATTAGCTTTGAAATAAACAACTAACTTAACACTCTGTGGTATACATACATAGCATTTGTTTCTAGCTTTTTTGTGTTATTATAGTATTTATTCTGAATTGATTATTTATTTTGTTTCATTATATACTCTGTATACATGACGGTTTCACATAACATGTGGTCGGTAAAGTCCATAACTTGAATTTTTTTAGCTGTTTTTGTTCCTTTGTTACTCCCGAGTAATTATTTCCTGTTCTGCCAATGAGAGATATTGTTACAATACTGCAATGCATGGACTTGAACAGCAGTGTCCTTCACTGGTAGTTGAGGTCATATGTAGAGGTTATGGCTACATCTATGTTTGAATGAGAATGAACAGTTGCTCTGGTTATATGCTGTGGAATGCTGGATTTAAACAATCTGGTACGTTTATACTATGTCAACAAAACAAGTGCACACACACATGTTTTTGTTACGTCTGTTTTGA